AGAATTTAGATGGGTTCCTCATTAGCAAACTCAATGACCTGGTTATAGATTTGATCGATGATTGTCCTACTGATTGGTCTGTGGACTCAGAGAGGGGATTACGATTCAGGGGCAGACTGTATGTACCTAACATTGTTGAATTGAGGAAAGAGAATATGGATGATGCCTATAGGTCCCAATATACCATTCACCCTGGTGGGACTAAGATGTATCATGACCTAAAGAGGACATTTTGGTGGAAAGGTATGAAAAAGGACATAGAAGAGTATGTTTCTCGATGCTATGTGTGTCAACAGGTTAAAGTGGAAGACTAACGACCGTTTGGACTTTTACAGCCTCTCGAGATCTTTACTTGGAAATAAGAGTACATCTCTATAGACTTCGTTGATGGATTATCACGGTCTAAGTGAGGCAATGAATCTATTTGGGTAATAGTGAATCGACTCACCAAGCCTATTCATTTTATTCTTATTAGTGTTCACCGAACTATGGATAAACTGACTAGGCTATATATTCGGGAAGCGGTGTGACTTCATGCGCCAATTTCTATAGTTTCGGATCGTGATTCATTGTTTGTGGCAAAGTTTTGGTAGAGTTTTTAGCATGCTTTGGGTGCTAACTTAGACCTGAGCATGGCTTATCATCCTCAGATGGATAGGCAAATTGAGCAAGTAAATCAGATCTTGGAGGATATATTGAGAGCTTGTGTTTTCGATCTTGGTGGTAATTGGGAAGAACATTTGTCATTGGTAGAGTTTGCATATAATAATAGCTATCACTCAAGTATCGACATGGCACCTTTTGAGACTTTGTATGGGAAGCCATATCGATCACCTATTTGTTGGATGGAGATAGGAGATGCGCCGTTGTTAGGGCCAAAGTTAGTTAGAGAAACCACAAAGAAAGTGAACATTATTCGGGAACGTATTAAGACTGCACAGAGTTGTCAAAAGAGTTACGCTGATAGAAAACATAAGGGGGTTAAGTTGGATGTTGGAGATTTTGTGCTTTTGAAGGTCTCGCCAATGAAGGGTATCGTGCGATTCAGAAAGAAGGGAAAGTTAGCACTTAGATTTGTGGGACCATACGAGATCACTGAGATGATTGGTAATGTGGCTTACAAATTAGCCCTACCACCTGCTTTAGCTATGATTCACAACGTGTTCCATATATATCTTTATTCCAAAAGTGTGTACAAGACCCTTCCCAAGTAGTATCACCAGAAGTGATGGAAATTAAACTAGTGACGATCTAATGTATGTGATGCGACCGGTTACTATTCTAGATCGGGATGTAAAACCGTTGTGGCACAAGAAAGTGAACTTGGTGAAAGTGCAATGGAGCGGGGATGAGAATAATATCACTTAGGGATTGGAAGAGAAAGTTCGGCATATGCACCTGGAACTTTTTGCTTAGTACTCTCTTATCGAATCTCGGGGGACGAGATTCTTCTGAGGTGTGTATATTGTAGCGACCTTAAATTTTCTTAAGTCATTCTTTATTATTATTAATTTTAAACCTAAAACAAATTTATGTTGAAAGTCTTTAATTTAGAGGTAACATTTATTATTAAAAAAAAATATATAGAGAGGATAAATTAGTTAGTATATTTTGATCTAGTAATAGTGATATTTTATTTAAATTAATGGAGAGAGAAAATAAAATAAAACAAAAGGTAATAATAAGTTAGACCCTTTTTGTTTACATATATATATATATAGGAACCCTAGGTTGCCTATACAATTTATAGTAGCAGTAGTAGCCGAGAAAGAGAGAGTCTGTGATTAGGGCCCATCATTAAGAAGAGAAAGAAAAAAAAAAGAAAAAGAAAAAAGAAAGAAAAAGAGACGGGGAGTTCTGAGCAAGAGAAATGCGAGGTACAGAGAAACAAAAGGGATGAGAGTTTTATTTTGGTGTTTTCATTAATTCTGCAACAATTTTTTTGATCTTCAAAAAGTAATGGTGAGTGCAAAACCCACTTTTCTTGACTTATGTTTATTTCGTTGTTTTTTTTATTTATTTTTATTTATTTGATATTGGTTAGTACTTGCATGTGGATGATGGATTGATTTCAGCTATTGTGGTTAGTTTTGTATACAAGGTTTAGGGTTTTTATATATATTTATTTTATGGTTGTAATTACATTCATGAATATATGAAATTAAAGTAAATTAGGAATCCATAGATAAATTTTGTATACTCCAGCATGACTCAATGAATTGTTGTTTTATTCGAGTATTGATGAGAAAAAGTGTATTAAAAAAAGTAAAGATTATGAGATTTATTTGAATGTCTTAGGCTCGGTATTGTTATATTTGTTTTCATGAGTAGACGAAGGGTTGTGTATATATATATTGTTGCCTCGTTCTCAGGAGTGGACAAGTGCTTTAATTTACGAGAATACGTATATGCTAACCATCCGGAGAGTGTGGGTCAAACTCGGGACAATATCTCCGCGCAAATTTGGCTTCAGAACGGTGTTAGGTATACGCGAGACACATGCGATATATGCGTAGGCCGGAAGTGAAGGGCTAAAGTGGTGGAGTTAAAATACAAAGAATTAAATATGAATTTATTAGTATAGTTTAAATTATTTTGATTTGTACATCTCGAAAAATAGTAAACGATCTCTATAAATTACGAAATTTGGACAGAGGCATGTATACGTAATTTTAGACAACTTTTATATTTTAGCTTTTTACTAAAAAGATTAATTAGAACTTGTAATCAAATGATCTTAGTTACAATAGTTGTTATTCATTTTAGCAATGCAGACTTTAGATGTTGTTTTAACCTACAAAATGAGCTCATTTTCATTAATTTCCTGTAAAATAAAGTAAAACATTATTCTAAACATTTTTCATGTTTTTAACTTTTCCAAAAAAAATCATCTTAGGACAATTTCTTTTCGTTTTCAGTTTCAAGTTTTTTAGTCGAATTCCGTCTAGGTTCATCTATCAAGTTTTTCTCTCAACCTTTTCAGTTTTTACTAAATCCTTTCTCGCTGCCTTTTATGAAATTTGATTCTATACAACTTTTTTTTTTTTTTTTGAGTTTTGGTTAATTCGAATGATTTAAGAATGACACGGTACATTTTTTTATACTTCTTCAGTAATTTATTTATAATTAAATTATACTAACTTTATTTTCTTGCAGAATGGTGGATTGTACTAACTTTTTACGCAGGACTGACCCATCATATTATTTTTATTTTTATTTTTTTATCCTCAATTTATATTTAGTTGTGTACGGGCAATAAACTAAATGCCACTATATCTCGGGAAACTACCCCTTTCGTGGAATTACTTGCCTTGTCTCGTAACACGAATTAAATGTACTTTCATTTGTGTCTAGTAGACACATGAGTGTCAAATCTTGTACTCACACCAGTATACTTGTATATTAACTTGTACGATCTCTTGGTATCTCGGATGCGTTATGTTTGAGCGCAGCCGAGCTTTCTTTGTAGAATTAGTTGGGACTACGGTGGTGACGAGAAATAATTACAATTGTAGAACATGTCTGATGAACTTCTTTTGCTTTGTTGAGATTAGGTTGATAGTAGTTTATTTATTTAATTTTTTTTTATGACTTTAGTATTTTGATAATTTGACATTGTGGGTTATTTTTTAAATTTACATTATTTAAGTTGTTTTAACTATTTGTTGTTATTTTAATGTTTGAGGAATTAGATAATTATGAATTTATGATGGATGATTTGGTTGGCGTTTGTTAATTTTTTTTTTATCCCTTTTAATTTTTATGAGTATTGAAATTTACTTAAACTAGATTGAGACGAAAACATTTAGATTTTGTTTCACCCATAGGACTTGGATAATGGAATATTGATTGCGATTTAGCCCTAATTTAATATTTAATTGTCTAAATTTTGAGACGTGACATTTTACCTATTTTTGTATATTAATTTACACATTTCAATATATTTTATAGATATTTTTCCGACACTAATCACAATACTAAGGACTATTTTAAGGTGTTTAGGTTCATTTAGAGTAGATTAGATGCATTAAAAATTTTAAAAACTATAATTATAATATATAAAAATTTACTTAAAACAAAAGACACGAAAAAGTAGAAAATAAAAATATTGATAATAAATCACACAATAATGAGGGGGTGTTTGAGAACAGACTAATACAATAAAAAAAAATAAAAAAAATAAATATTCATTATTATTTTCTCTATTTTTTCAGTAAAAAGTTAAAAAATTATCTCCAAATATTTCCCTTAATATTTTAATCAAAAAATTAAAGGATAAATTATAAATACACCCCTCGAGATTTGCTTAAAATACGAATTGTCCCTTATAGTTTGAAAAATTACAAATACTTCTTATTTAACGGATAATTTTTATTTAACTGAATTAACTAAAAAAAATAAATTTTATAACTACTTATCTATACAATGATAACATTACATGAAATATTAATTGAAATAAATTTCAGACATTATTAAAAAATATTAATTAATTTAATAATTTATTAAATAAATGTTTCAGTTATTATGAAATTAAAATTTTCAATAAACAAATGTAATTTTTGAAATCACATATGGACAAATCGCATTTTAAATATGAATAATGCTTGGGACTCCCCTTTTGGGGGTCACCCCTCACCCCCCTTTGCCACGTGACGGGTGGTGATTGGAGGAGCAGGAAAAAAAAGAAAAATAAAAAGAAAATGTAGCCAATGAGAAAAAGAGGGAGTCAAAGGGGGTGGGGGAAATGGGGGATGAATCATTACTGTTTAAATATATCTCAGTATTTGTATTACATCCATTAAAAATAAATAAATAAATAAATAAAAAAAAAAAAGTCATTTGAAAAAGTTACTTTCCAAACCCTAAATCAAGGCGAATTCCGGAAGTCTGGCCACAACCACCCACCACGTGCATGATCTCCGCGTTACACTCCCTCCCGCCCCGTCTATAAATTCGAACCAAACCCATCAGCCATTTCCAAACCAGAAGAGACTCTTTTACCATACAAAGACTCTAACAACAAACAATGACTCTCAAATCCAAATCTATCCCCCTCCTCCTCACTCTCACTCTCACTCTCCTGGTTCCATTTGTTCTCTCTGTTGGCTCCGCCGCTTACGACGGCCGGAAGGAGGCGGCGGGGGCTGTGGGCGGTTGGTTGTTGATCAAGAACCTGAAGGCAGCGGAGGTGCAAGAGGTAGCGCAGTTTGCGGTGAGCGGGCACAACAAGCAGGCCAATGCGAAGTTGGTGTTGGAGAGAGTTGTTCGGGGCGAAACCAAGGTTGTTTCTGGCACGAATTACCGACTCGTCATCGCCGCTAAAGATGGTGGGCTTTCCAGCAAGTACGAAGCAATTGTTTGGGTTAAGCTTTGGGAGCATTATAGGAACCTTACTTCCTTCATAAAGTTGTAGGGTTAATGTGACCATCGTGGAGTTTTATGAAATGTGCTGCATTGTAAAATCTGTACCCAAATTTTAATGATAATAAAAAGGAAAAAAAAAAAAAAAATGGTGTTTATTCCAGGTCTTCAGCAATGTTTGTTTATTTACTTTTGTAATAATTGTTCTAATAGAATATGTATTTAATTTGGTCATATTTGTTTGGATGTAGTGAATTAGGCGAGATTATTCTTATCCTTTTTGCAATTTAGTTAATTAGTTTAAATTTCTCCTTATGCTGTATTTGGTTAGAGGATTTGGAGAGTGATTTGAAAAGAAAAACGGAAAAGGTAGGTGAAATGTGAATAAAATATGCCTATATTTCACCTAGTTTCACACACCTTTCCCTTTCCAAATCCCTCTCCAAACCCGCCAACCAAACACAACATTAATCTCTCATTTTACATTTTACTCCATTATTGGGATTCAACTGTTTCTATATGACTTTTACATTTTACTCTATTATTGGGATTCAACCGTCTTTATATGAGGAATATCATGTCTAGTGGATTATTAATTCTTAATTTCTTTAGTTAAATGTGAGATTATATATTTTGTTGAATTATTAATCTAGTCTCAAGGTGATGGATGCTCAAACAAAGCCTTTGTTAATTGTTGGTATGTGGCCTAAATGTCAAATTGATGTGAAATATTACAAAAATACGAGTGATAAATCTAATTAATCACTTTTTTTTTTTTTTTTTGATTGGCAAAGAGAAATCTTTATTGATGAAAGTATACAAGAAGGATACAAGACATCAATAAAGAGGAGCTATAAGCTTACTGAAGCTCGAAGCTCCAAAATGAAATAGCAGAAAAACAACACAAAAGGGAACAAAAAGACTCAACAGGCTGCAAAACAAATGCAGGACACAGATGAAGCCAACCCATTGGACTAGTTCATCTGGACTAGTTCATCTGGACACCCAAAACTGAGCCATAGCAGATTATATGCCGGGAAAGAAATAGAAGAAACCCTGTGCTGCTTCCATTAGAACAACCGTACTGCATGGCATATAAACTTCAATGTTGCACAGAGGCAAACCAGAAAATACAGAGACTACTCCTCTGGCCTTATTTCAGAATTTCCACCCAACAGAGCATCATGCATACCCAAGCCTGCTGAAGTTCATTCAACAGACCAGACAGCCTAACAAAAGGTCACAGAAGCATACCTGGCAGACAGCCTATCCACAAACCAGGAGCCTGAACCCACACTGACATACCCTTCACATACCACCCACAGACCCACCCAAGCACCTTCTAATTTCACTTAAATTGTAGATGAAGTCCTGCACTGTAAAGCAGAAATCTGGAAAGTAAGGTTTTACCCAAAAGGCAATTCGATGCTTGATTACCTCACAAAGATCTTCCAGATTCGGGGTGATTGCTCTGAACACACACTCATTTCTACACTTCCAAGTGGACCACATTACAACCATCGGAATTACTCCCCAAATCTTCCTTTCTAACTTCCTCAACTTCCCTCCTGCCCACCACCAGAGAAGGGTCTCCACCGAGCCAGGAATGACAGCTTGGAGATCCCACCATCTCAGCATTTCTGCCCAGATTTTCCACACAAAGGGGCACCAAATTAGTACATGGTTCACTGATTCACTTCCACTGCCACAGAACACACACGTTGTAGAGGCACCCTGATCAAGCACACCCAGGCGCTGTAAATACTCCTTGGTCTTTACTCTCCCCTTCCATGCAAACCAACAGAAAACCTGCACCTTGGGAGGGATAATCTTTAGCCATATCAGTTTTGTTATGCTCAAGGTATCACCTGCAGAAGCCAGAAAGGACTTGTACAGATCTGCCACAGTTAGGATTCCAGAAGAAGAAGCTAGCCAGACAGACTGGTCAGGACAACCAGGACGCAGGTCAGGAGCTTCAAGCAGTATATTTAGGAGCCTAGCCAGATCTAACTTCTCCCAATCATACAACTCCCTCCTAAAAGCCAGAGCCCAACCCCCTGCTCTGATTTTCTTATCCACCAAAATGCTCAAAGTCTCCTTCTTTTCCAAAGACAGCCTGAAGAGAGTAGGGAATTCATCCTTCAAACACCCAGAACGACGCCAATTATCAGCCCAAAAGCTTATCCTCTGCCCATCCCCTACCTTCAACTGAAAATTGTTCAAGTAATGCTCCTTAAGGCTAGTGCACTGATCAGCAGCGGAGATGATCCCCCTCCAAATTGGTGAGAATTTATTTGACGGAGTGAGTGATGGAATCCAACCACCCACCCCCATCTTATATTTACTGCATATAACTCGTTTCCACGACGCATCCTTCTCACAAGCAAACCTCCACCACCATTTGATTAACAGACACTTATTCACATTTTTCAAATTCCTGATACCCAAACCTCCTTGGTCCATACCTTTAGACAAAACCTCCCATTTAATCATGTGGATTTTCCTATCCTGTTCGGATCCACCCCATAAAAAGGTAGCTTGGAGCCTGTCCAACTCTGAAGCCACTCCTTCAGGCAACTTAAACAATGATAAATAAAACACTGGCAAAGCTGAGGTTACTGTTTTAACAAGTATGAGCCTCCCCGCAAAAGACAACATCTTCCTCTTCCAACCAGCCAGCTTACTTTTAACTTTATCCACAACTGGTTTCCAAGTGGCCTTCTTTCTTGGATTGGCTCCGAGAGGTAGCCCTAAGTAAGTGAGTGGTAATTTTTTAACCTTGCAATTCAACACTGCAGCCATTTCATTCATCATAGCCGTAGAGACACCCACACCACATACAACACTCTTATGAAAATTTATTTTAAGACCAGACAAAATTTCGAAACATCTTAGCACCCTTTTCAACTTTCTCACCTCTTCCACCTCAGCTTCACAAAATAGGAGTGAATCATCTGCGAACTGTAAGTGAGACAATAAGACTCCCTTAGATCCAACCTTCACCCCTTTAATAAGATTTAGCTCACAAGCTCTACTCAACAACATGTGGAGACCCTCTGCAACTAGGTTAAACAAGAAAGGAGACAGTGGATCACCTTGCCTTAGACCCCTTTGAGGGCTAAACTCTTCAGTTGGGGACCCGTTGACAAGAACTGAGACTCTTGTACTTGTAATACACTCCTTCATCCAATTGACCCACTTGGCTCCAAACCCAAGCTTCTTCAACATAGAGAACAGGAAGCCCCAATTTATGGAATCATATGCTTTTTCAAAATCCAACTGGATAAGTACTCCCTTCTTCTTGGCTTTCTTCCAACCCTCAACAACCTAATTCGCAATAAGCACACCATCTAGAATATGCCGCCCACTTAAGAACGCAGACTGGGGTTCACTAATGATAAATGGCATGACAGATTTCAATCTCTTAGCCAGCAGTTTTGCTAGGATTTTATAAATCGAACCCACCAAGCTTATGGGTCTGTAGTCAGTTAGCCCAGTTGGATTGTCCTTCTTAGGAATGAGGGTTATGAAGGAACTGTTAATGCCTTTTACCAGCTTGCCATTCCTATGAAATTCGTTCACAAAGTTAATAACCTCACCCTTCATGACATTCCAAAACTTCTGGAAGCACAGCATATTGAACCCATCGGGTCCCGGTGCTTTGTTCCCATCACACTCCATCACAGCTGATTTTATCTCTGCTTCTGTAAACTCTGATTCAAGCCAATCAGCCCTAGCTCTACCTAGTACTGAAGGAAGACCCCCCAACACAGGTCTTACTGCCCAACTCTCTGAGAACTGATTTTGAAAATATTGAAGCACCTTGCTCTTTACATGCCTCGGCTCTTCAAACACCACATCCCCTTCTGTAATAGAGTTTATTTCATTTCTTATTGTTCTGCATTTTGTTATGACATGAAAAAATCTTGTATTCTTATCCCCTTTCATAGTCCAGTTAAGCCTAGACTTTTGCAGCCATAACCATTCGACCATCCTACTCAATCTCCACATTTCAATTCTAGCTTCACTTCTCCTAATCTTTTCCTCCCCATCAAGGTCTCTAACCTCTGCCAGAAGATCCAAGCTGTGAAGATCTCCCTCGACAGACTTTAATTTGTTCACTACATTGCCAAAAACCTCTACATTCCAACTTTTAAGGTTATTTTTTAACAACTTCAATTTCTGAGACAGGATAAATCCAGCCCAGCCTTCCACAGCAGACTCTTGCCACTTGGACTCCCAGAAACTCTGAAAATTTTTGTGTAAAAACCAAGCATTCAGAACCCTGAAGGGCTTTGGGCCCCAGTCTCTCTCATCCTCCATCATAAGAAGAGGACAATGATCAGAGACCATCCTGGGAAGACCCCAGAGTTTGATGTTAAACATTTCTAGCCACTTTGGGTCTACAAAAATTCGATCTATCCGACTCCACTTCTCCCCAGTATACGAATTGCACCAGGTGAATCTCCTTCCAAGTAATGGTAAATCTGAGATCTCACATTTATCAATGAACTCGTTGAAGTCTTTCATGCCTCTATCCCTCCTCGAGCACCCTCTCCTATCTCCAATCTGCCTAATCTCATTGAAGTCACCTCCTAAACACCAGGGGTTAGGGAATTCCTCCTTCAATTTCAATAGATAGTTCCACAACACCCCTCTAGGACCCACATCATTTGGTGCATAGATGTTAAGAATAGCACAATTAAAATGGTTGAAAAGGGTACCTGATAATAAAATAAATCTTCTGTTGCTGTAGCATTCTTTAACTTGGAAGACATCTGGATCCCAAATGCACACTAATCCCCCAGCAGAGCCTACGGCATCAACCACCATGAACTCCATTTTGCTCCTGACCCACACAGACCTAACATCCACCTCTGTTAATTCTGACTTCTTTGTTTCTTGGAGCAGCACGACATCAACGTTCCTTTCCTTGATGAGCTTCTTAATTTTACCTCGCTTCTCCCTCCTACCCAACCCTCTAACATTCCATGAAAGGATCTTCATGATAAACACAATTTCTCTTATACAGCCACCCATCTGGCGTCCTTCAGACCCCATCTCTCACTCCCCCTTCAATCCGATCCTTATCCCTCAATTCAAGATCCCTTATGTGCTCCAACACCTCATC